CCCCCACCGCCGCTGGCGCCCTCTCGTACCGCGGAGTCTCCAGGCCACATCCCTGCCGAATCACCCTGCCCAGCAGCCCCTCCGCCCGGCCCGCCCGGCCCTACGCCCTCCCCCTCCTGCTCCGCCTCCCCCTTCCCGTCGCCGCCGCCTGCCCCCGCTGCCGCCGCCCCGGCCCGCCCCGGCGCCGCCGCCTCGCCCGCTGCCTCCTCCAGCGCGCGCAGCCGCCCCGGCGACAGGTCAGCGAGCCCGGCCTCCCCGCCCCTCAGGCCGCCCGCCACTGGCGGCAGCCGCCCGCCGCTGGCCGCCCAGCCGCCGCTCTCCGCCATCAAAACCTCCGACACGATCACGTCGCGGCGCGACCCGTCCATCTCGGATCTGTCCAGAAGTTCTGCGGGCGACGCGGCCCGCGGCGGCGGCGGCGGCTGCGCGTTCGCCGCGCCCTCTTGCCGCCCTGCCGGCGCCTCGGCGGCGGCGTGAGCGCTGCTGGGGGCCTCCAATGACATGGCGTCGCTGTCATCCATCGCCACTCGCGCGCCGCCCGCGGCTGTGGGCGGCGGGTTATCTTGGCCGGCGCCCACGAGTGCCGACAGGCCCTCGTCAGCTTGCATCGCCTCTGAGTCGTTGGGCGCCGCGCGGCGGCGCCGCTCCCCTTCCTCGCCCGCCGCCACCGCCGCGGGCGCGGGGGCGGAGAGCTGGCGCTCGGCGGTCAGCGCGGCTGGGTCGCCGCCGCTCGCAGCCTCAATTGCGGAGCCCTCAATCGGCAACTGCCCCTGTTGCCCATCTGCCGGGGCCCCAGCCGCCGCCTCCGGCTGCTCGCCGCCGCCGCCGCCTGCGGTTGCGCCCTCCTCTTCGCCTGAGCGTCTCCCGGCGCGCACGCCTCCTCCGGCCGCTTGGGCTGCCAGGCCGTCCGGAGGCGGCCCTGCCGCCGCCTCGCGCCCTGCTGTTTCCAATGCGCTCTGAGCTGCCTCAAGGCTAGGGTATGCAGGGGTGTTCAGCTCACGCAGCAGGCCGCTTGCACTGACCCCGCCCCCGGCCTCGCCCCCAGCCTCGCCCTTGGCCTCGCCGCCGACGCCGCCCTCGCCGCCTCCACTTTGCTGCTCGCCTCGCCCCTCGTCCTGCTGCTCTTGCCGCTGGGGATCCTGTGGCCGCAGCCGCCCCCCCTGCGGTGCGCCTCGCTCCTCGTCATCGCCGAGGCCGCCGCCGCCGCCGCCGCCGCGTTCGCTTCCTTCAAAGGTGCCGTGGTCAGCGCCCCTCCTGCCGCCGTTGGGCGAGTGCTGGCGCCGCTTTGGATGAGCGCGCGCCACCACACCACTGCTGCAGGGCCGGCCGATGCAGAGCTGTGCGGGGCGGCCGCTGATCGGGCGGCGCGTCGGGAGCCCGCCAGCGACTACGCGCGCCAGCCGTGCAGGCTGCGCCAGCGCTGTTGCATGCTGCATGCTTGATCGTTCCGTTCAGTGCGTGTTGGTTCCTGCAGTATTGCGGGGTTGAGCTTTGTTCGCCAACGCTCGCCCTTCGTGACATCAGCGTCCGTCAAGGATGGCGAGATCAGCACCAAGGACGTTGGCAAAATACGAGAAGAATACGAAATGGTGAAGCTTGAAGATGCTGTGCGAACCAATGTGCTGCACCAGAGGCGAGGTTTGCCAGGCGGCACACAAGCGCCTGTGGCAAGTGCAACATCCTGTCACTGTCAACAACACCATTGATGGGACCCGGGAACCAAGTGCAAACACCAATTGTGCACAAGTAAGGGCATTCAAAGCATGCAAGGAGGGCGCATGAACCATGCACAAGGGCCAGCATCGACCTTGCATTGACCAATCGCACCCAGCCTTCATGAGCCCCCCTTGCCAACCTGCAAGACGCATGGAGCCGTCATAATGACAAGATCCATCCTGGAAGGCACATATGCAGAGAACAACAAAGTATCCAGCCTGCAGCCCTGTTAAGACGTAATTGAGAGTTGAGAGGATGGTTGAGAGGAGACGTCAGGTGGAGAGCGGTCAAGCCTTTACTGCAGGACAGAAGTTGACTGGGGCAGGGGCACCTGATACTGACCGCGGCAGACAAGTGGGCCAGCCCTTCACGTGCAGCAGCTGTCCCCGCCCTTCAACCCAGGCACCCACCATGCTGCAGTGTCCCAACACTGCCGAATCGTCATCCACCACTCCTACGCCTGCCGCTGCCGCCACTCCTGCCACGATCAAAAGCTGTTCTGCTGCTGCTGTAAACTTGCAGCTGAACGCCTTACGATCGATCGCTTACCAACATTGGAGCCTCTCCACGGCAGCCCCAGAGCTCTCTGCCCTCTGCCCTCTGCCCTCTCACCCGCCCCCGCCCTTGCCCCCC